TGAAGCCTCTGAAATAATAAGCCAAAATATATCTTTCCTCCTTTTAAATTAATATGCTCAGGTACACGGTCACAGAGACGCACAGGGCTCTAGCACAGTGGAGGATTCTGCTCAAGGGGTAATGATGACAAAGACTGGGTTTAAGGGGTGAAAGTGTGAGATAGGTCTATGAAGTTAGGACAAAAGCCTCCCACCGGCATACACTTTAGGCCACCCTCCATACTCTAGCCCATGCATCATCTGCACTTTCTTCTCCCAGCCACAGAGTTATCTGATTGCCTCTCTGTTGCACCTATCTGTTTCTGCCACTGCGGTTTCACTCTTCTTCCTGATCTACTGCACCACAGAATAGCACTGTCAGCTTTCTCCTTTGTTCTCACATAACCTTTTGAAGTCTCCTAGAGTGTTACAAAGGAAGTCAAGGGATAAAAGAGCTCTTCTAAATTCACCTTCCACACTTTTTAAAATTTAGACTAAGTTGAGAGAGATCAAAGTACACCTGGATGATAACAATCCAGTCTGAGGGACAAAAAGATGTACGGGTTTGTTTTACAATGTTTGAGAGCAAGGAGAGGTCACATTAAGCTCCACTCAGAAAATCAGGCTTTGCCTTCGCTAGTCAGAGGTATCAAAATAGTCCAACTCATGTTTGGGAGACTACCTTCTCCTCTGACAATACACCCCAAAACAGAGATAGGGGCAGAGTAGTGCCCTGAAAACAGGGTAAATCTCTTCTTCTTCTGTCCAGGCCATCATGTTCACGCATATGATATTCACTTCCTAAGCTCACCAGTCTAGTCAAAGGTGGGTCACATCGTCTTTCTGTACTAGGAACGTTTTAAGTCAGCTTCATAACATCTGTAAATGCTCATAGTCTACAGCATCAATAGGCTCCACTTCAACTTCCCATCTAAAGACATCACAACAAAGGCAAGGGTGAGAACTCCCAACCACTCAGAAAGCAGCCACTTACATTGGCTCCCCATCTCTGAAAGCTAATCCCACTCCTCCGACTTTCTTCTGCTCTCCCCAGCAAAGCCTCACCTTCATGTGACACTCACTCCTCCCCGCCCCCCACTATGTCTAATTCCCAAAGTAAAAACCTGAGCGGTGGTTTTATCCCAGGGCCAAGAAACTCCCATTTTCATGCATGCTTTTTTCCCTGCCTACCATACAGAGACTATTCATAATGCCCGCAAGCAAGGAAGCCCAAAATCAGAACAAAACCTCCTCTGGGGATGGTGGAAAGAACAAAAACTTATGCCAATTAATTACCCGACCTATATATTCCAGAGGAACTGCCAGGTTCAGGTTCTCCACTTAGTTCATGATTGATAGATTTTCAGTGAAGACCAAGACATAACTTTAGATATAAATACTGAGAAAATGGCACGAAGGGTGAGGTTGCTACCAGAGAATACTCAGGGCCTACGAGAATCCTGCCAATACCAAAAAAATGAAAGTTTTCCACTCCTTTCTCTTTGCCCCATTCCTTTAATATTACTTTCTCTCTTTGCTTTATGACCTTAACTGAATTAAGATATAATCTGTGTCTAATTTGCACTTCTCTAATAATCAGAGACACTAAACATTTTCCCATGTATATATTGGCCATTGGTATTTCTTCTTCTGAGAAGTGTCTATTCATTTCAGGTTCCCTTTTTTTGAATGGGTCTTTCATTTTGGTTGGTCTAATTTACTACAGTTCTTTATACACTTTAGATATTAGAGCAATATTAGATATTAAGAACTCTTTCTGAGAAATAGACATTTTTTCCCCTTTCTGATGTTGTCTCTTCATTCTATTGGTTGTTCCTTTTTCTGTGCAGAAGCTTTTAATTTGATATGATCCCGTTTGTTGTCGCTAGTACTGTCAGTGGAATTCTGTTCAGAAAATCCTTGTCTACAGTTATATCTTTAAGAGCTTTACTCTTCTAGCTTCCAGGAGATTCAGTATTTATGTTTTAATATTTAGATCTTCAATCGATTTTAATTTTAGTGTAGTACATGGTGAGATACATAGGGCTTCTGCATGTGGATAGCCAATTTTCCCACTATCATTTATGAAAGAGGTCATCCTTCCTCCTGGGTATGTTTTTGGCCCGTTTGTCAAACATCAGATAGCTGAATTCACCTGGGGTTGTTGCTGTATCATCTCTTTTGTTCCACTGATCCGCAGGTCTGTTTTTGTGCCAGTACCAGGTGGTTGTTTTCAATACAGCTTTATAATATAACTTGAAGTCCAAGACTGTGAGTCTTCCTGCTTTGCTCTTTTTGCCCAAGATTACTTTGCTATTCTGGGTCTCTTCTTATTCTAGTATTAGGATTGTTTTGGCCAGTTCTATGAGGAATACTGTTGATATTTTGATTGAGAATGTGTTAAATCTGTGCATCAGTTTTTGGAGTGTGGCTATTTTGACTATACTTGTTCTGCCTATCCAAGAATAGGGAGTAACTTTCCATTTTCTGATATCCTCTTCAATCATCTTTTTCAGTGTACCTTGGTATTCACTGTAGAGTTATTTTAACTTTGTTGGTTAGGAAATAATTTCTATTTAATCCTTCTTGATGCTATTGTAAATGTTGTTTTCCTAATTTCTCAATGAGTTAATTATTGGTGCATAATAATGTCATTGACTTTGTGTCGCTGCTATATGAATATATATATATATATATATATATATATATATATATATATATATTCACTTCTTTCTATTGCCTGATTGCTTTGGCTATTATAAGTACTGCATGGAACAGAAGTCATATTAGGAACATCTTTGTGTTGTCTGACTTCAGAGTGCAAGCTTTCCATTATCCCCCCATTTAATTTGATATTGATAGGTTTGTCACAAATGATTTTATTAGGTTAGAATAAAATCCTTCTAACCTATACAGGATTTTTATGATGAATGCATACTGGATATTTTCAAAGGCCTTTTCTGCATTTATTCAGATGATGCAGATTTTTGTCCTTGCTTCTATGTGATGTATAACATTTATTGATTTGCATATGCTAAAATATCCTTGCATGCCCAGAATAAAACCTACTTGGTCATTTTGTATGATCTCTCTGGTGATTGATTCATGGCATTGTTTGCCAGTATCTTGTTGAGAATTTTCTGTATCTACATTCACTAGAGACTCGTCTGTAGGTTTTTTGTTTGTTTTTAGCTCTATTCTTATCTGGTTTGAAGATCAGTGTAATGCTAGCTTTCAGGAATGACTTTGGGAGTATTCCTTCCCTTTCAATTTCATGAAAGAGTTTGAAGAGTATTAGCATTAGATCTTCCCTGAAATTCTTATTAGAATTCAGCAGTGAGTGCATCCATCCTGGGCTTTTCTTAGTTGTTAGATTTTTATTACTAAATTAATTATGTCATTAGATTATTTGAGTTTTTATGACTTTGCAGTTGTTTTATAAATTCATATGTATCTCAGAATTTATGTATTCAGAATTTTCCAGTTTATTGATATACAGGTTTATGAAGTAGTTGCTAATAATCTGGATTTTGGTAGCGTCTGTTATGACTTAATCTTTTTCATTTCTAATTGCACTGATTTGTGTCTTTCCTTTTTTTGGCAAAATTGGTTAAGGGTTTGCCTATTTTATTTATTCTTTTAAAGAATCAGCTCTTTGATTCACTGATTCTTTGTATTTTTTAGTCTCAATTCTATTAATGTATGCTCTGACCTTTAGTTCTATAGAGACCAGCAGGATGCTATTCATTTGCTCTATTTTTCTGATGTGGGCATCATTCCCTCTCAGGATTGCTTTCACTGTGTGTGGTAGGTCCTGGTATGTTTTAATGGCCTTATCATATAACTTAAGTAACTAATTTCTTCCTGATTTCTTCTGTGATCCGTTCATCAAGAGTGTATTAATTTCTATGAATTTGCATAATTTCTATGGTTTATTTTTACCAATGATTTCTAGTTTCATTGTGCTACAGTCTGATAATATGCATAGATTGTTTCTCTTGCATTTAAACAAGCATTATGGACTAGTATGGTCTATTTTAGAGAGTTTTACCAAGTTCCATCTGTAGAGAAAGTGCTATTCGCTGCTAAGAATATGTATTCCTTTTTTGGGTGAAACATTCTGCAGATACCTATTATTTGTTCAACAATGTGGTACAACTTTGACATTTTTCTTGGGGCTAGAATGCTGGCAACATCTGTAATTTCTCCTTGGATCTTCTGACTCTCTGGGCGTTTATCCCAGATGTTGGCCTCAGCATTGATCAGCTTGGTAGGCTGGTTGTAGTCTCTACTGCCCTATGCTGAGAGGAAAAACTACAAAAAGCCAACATGGAGTTGGCAGGTGGTCAAAATTAGATCACGAAAATGCATGAATGTTTAGAAAAGCATCACATTATTAAAATTGATTCCAGGAGGCTAGGAAGTCTAAATAGACCAAATAACATTGAAGAAATATTATCAGAGATCTTCTCCTATCAAAAATCACCAAATTCAGGTAATTCCATAGATAAAACCATCAAAGCATCTAAAATATTATTAAGATATTATAGTTGTGTATAAATATGAATTACTTATAAAGAAATACTTGAAGTATCTATACATTAAAAAATGAATAGACAAAACAACCCTGGTCATGATATAAAATCCCCTATTGATACCAAAATGCATATACTGAACAAAAGAAAACTATACATCAATATAAATATCTTCTACCAGGCAAACTACCAGGCAAAATTTAGCAGCACAGTGAAAAATACAATTTGTACAGCTAAGTTCATAAAAAGTATAGCATGTCTATTAATACAGTTGCTAAGGTCTGAATATTGTATCCCTCCAAAATTCACATGTCAAAACCTAATTTCCAAAATGATATTAAGAGACACTATTCCATCTGGAGTTTATCCTGTTGTAGGAATAGATCAGTATTTTTTCCAGATAGTTTCCCAGGAGTTTTAGTGAAGAGAAAAATTATTTAATTCTTGATAAGGATATAAAAATACAAAGTCAAAGACATTTGCTGGGAGAGTTGAATCTTGAAATATACATAGAATTTATTATCAGATAAAGATAGCATTTTAAATCAGTGTCGAATGTTCTATTTTACAGAGGTATAATTGAAAGATACTAAACTGCACATTTTTAATATACATAATTAGATACATTTTTAACATACATACACACAAAACCATGGGAAATCATGAATACATATTACTCAAACATTCACTCATGTTCCTTTGTGGTTCCTCCATTATACCCTTTTCCATCCAAACACCACAATCTCACTAACCTATAATATGCTGTCAATACAAATTGGTGGGCATTTTTCAGACTCTCACATAAACTGAATTATACAGATTGTACTCTTTGTCCGCCTGCTTTCATTCAGCGCAGTATTTTGGGATTTGCCCATGTTGTCACATGCATCAAAATGCCTTAAAAAGGGGAAAGCTTTACTTTATACTGATATTTACTGAAAAGATATATAGGTCAAAAGTTTTTATATAAGCCTTGTCAACAATTTTCTATTGTGTCAAGGATTTATCTAGAAAAAAAAATTAGCAGGCTAAAATGATTTTACTGCTGAGTTATGTCAAGCTTTAATGAAATGGGTAATTCCCAGTTTTCAGTTACAAAGCACAGAAAGAAAACAGTAAGCTTCCAAATTTATTTTATGAGGCTAACAGAACCCCAGGCCAAAAAGTTGGCCAAGTGGCAACTTTCTTACCTTTAAAATACAAAGAACCTACTCACCAAACATTTGTCACATGAGATAGGCTGCCACCAATTCCCCTGAGTACTAATGAAAAATTCTAAGTACAATATCAGTAAATTAAATATGGCATAGGCTTCATGTCAGTAAAAAAATAACGAAGTAATCCACTTATGCCACTCTATTTCAGATTGAGAGCAGATCTTCAAAGAATTTTCTCAAAAACATTATTCATTCATCTTTGATTTAAATAAAGCTCTTTGTGAACTAAGAAGATATTTTCTCAACTTCAAGATAGATTAGCTGAGAATTTTGTTTCTTTGTATTGTTCAAAGGCTTTTACAATGATTATTAGCAGAGAATAAATTCTTTTCCATTGTAAAATGAAAAAAAAAAACAATCACAGTGGGCATAAACTAATGGTATCTTGAAAGCTGATAAAGGAGGGACTAAATATTCAAGATGGAGATAGAAGAATCAGCATAACACTGTATTAAAATTTTTCATAATTAGTACAAAGCAATTCATGTACAGAAACCATTAATCTTTAGATAATATTGCTATTAGTGAGAAACAAATTCAAAATACTTATCTGATGAATAGTGAAGCTGAGCCAGAATGAGATTGTACCAGTATGTCTTCTATCTTTATAGCAAATTCCATTCAGAAATTAATCAAAAAGCTTAAAGTCCCTGCCAAGAATATGGTTTAAATAATGACGCCTCCCCTCCAAAAAAGAACTGTGTATGTTGGAGGTTATCCTCTTTCATTTCACTAATCTCTATGAAAATAGAGGCAAGACCATCATTTGAGAGTAACAGAAAAGTTAAAACAAAAGATGCAGAAGGCCTCATTATGACATCAACCTGGTTAGTACAGTCAGTTGGGAAGTACCTTCCCTAACTCCTCAAAACTGACCCTATTGCAGCTCAATCCTAAACCAGGTTCCTGAGGTAACAAGATGCAAACTGAGTGGATGGAAACATTCACAGTCCAGGGACATACTAGGCAGTTTGGACCTGTCTCCTAAGTCATCTGACAACCAAACCAGGACTCTGTCCCGCCAGAAGAGCTTCTGTTATGATTCCTTTCCCAAATCTAGTAATACAGTTCTTCAATCCCACATAGCATTTTCCTGCACTATGTAACAATGGACTGTTACCAAAGTTAAGGTTCTGCCATCAACAGATTCTCCCCTAGGTCTTCATCAGAGCATACATCTGGGTATGAAGTGTGCAACTTACAGTCTCACAAAGAAGCAGCCAACAGGTATTTCACATACAAGCTACATATCATGTGTTTACCCAAAATTTAGAGATTGAGAGAAATGACAAGCTAAAAAACACAATAAATGCTTTTATACATCATTTTTGTTCTGAATGCATAATGAAAAAAATTCACTTCTTTCTACTCTTCAATACTGCTCCAATTTCTGTAGTTATCTGAAAGTTCTCAAATTTATTCCAATAATTTAGAATTTACAAATAGTTTCCATTTCTTTAAAAAATTATGGTTTCCAGATCCTTCTGACATATAAAGAACAGCAAAATGCAATACTTATATTTATATTTTCTATAGAAAACTTTTTAAATTATAAGGCATATCAACAGGCTAGTATATATAACACTGGGGAATACTGAAATAGTCCAAGTGGAATATTCAAAATATTACTAAAATTTGCTTGCCCTGCCCAATGGTGAGAGATTGATTAGAGAAATTATGGCTTATCCAAACAACAGAATTTCATGCAACCGTTAAATCATGTAGTGAATAAGTGATTCATAATTATATACTGGAAAATATATGTTTAAGATCGGTAAGATCTTAAGAACAGCAACTTATAAATTTTAGTTTGACCTCAACTTATACATATACCTACTCATATTACATCCCTGTATGGATATATTATGCATAAAAAACAATAGGAAGCTACCAAAATGTTCATTATGTCTGGCAGATTATCAGGTTTTTTGCTTTTTCATTATTTTCCTTTCTTCCACAGAAAACATGGATCTTTCACTTACGACAAAAAATTAAAATTTTTAGAAATCAATGTTTTAAAAATTAACTCTTCCAGGGCAGGGGATTTAGCTCAGCGGCATAAGCGCCTGCCTTGCAAGCAGGCAGTTGTGAGTTTGATCCCTGGTACCGATAAAAACGAAAAAGACAAAAAAAAAAATTTAACTCTTCCCTCAATTAGACTCAAACCTGAAAGTATTTCATGTTAATCTTGCCTGACAAGTATTAGCCATTCATTTCTCTTATAAAGTTAGATTTGTTCCACATTCTACTGCCCAGTGATCAAATACTGTATTACACTTCTTCCTGCATTCTTTTTGGGCTAATGCAACTATGACTGCTATGTCATTTATGTCAATCCACAGAAAATTCTGATGACCTGCTGATACCAATAAACTTTCATCTCTTCTGCCCATTCCTATCAAGTTCCATAACTTGTTAGAATCCAAAGCAGAATCTTGGAAAGTATTCCCATACACTTTAGAAGACTTAGAGAATTAATACTTTGTGTTTCAAGACAAAACAACAAAATATGTTCCCAATAACCCTACTGTATCTGTACAATGGAATATCATTTAACAATAAAAAGGAATGCAGGTATGTGCTACATGAATAAACCTTGAAAACATTACACTAAATGAAAGGGGTCAGGGGCTGGGGATTTAGCTTAGCGGCATAAGCGCCTGCCTTGCAAGCAGGCAGTCATGAGTTCGATCCCCCATGAAAGGGATCAGTCAAAAAACATATATTGTATTATATCATTTATATGAAATATCCAGAATAAAATTTAGAAGCAAAAAGTTTTCGCTTAGGGTTGCAAGGATAGGAAAAGAATAATGGGCACTGGATGCTAATGGGTATAGGACTTATTTTTTAAGGGGCATATATTCTAAAACTAGGTTATGGCAATGGTTACCACACCTTATATTTTAAAAAACAGTCAATTATATTTGAATGAATTGTATGTGAACTATATATCCATAAAACTGCCTTTTAAAACACTCCTATATTTTTTCTTAAACTACCATTCATTAAATACCATTGAAAACAATTCAATGAATTTAAAATATTTACACAAAATACAATTAATCAGAAATGGTGCCCAACTATAGCATTCCAGAAAATGTTTCTACAAAGCCCACATTTTTTAAAGTATGCCATCCTTGCCATCAAATAGTTCACTGGAAATAATTATAAAAGTATCACTGGATTTGTGAAAATGGCTTGGAAAAAAACATGCATTTTGTCTCTATCAAGGATACAAATTGATATATGATGTCGCTGTGATCTTCTCAGCCAACTGAATGTCTCTAAAATTCCTCAATTTTTATTTATAGTGGGATGAAATACCAGAAAAATATAAATACACAAAAGACCAGTATTTCCTTAAGTTATACCCACTAGGAAAAAAATTTCTTTATTTAATGTTACTATTTACACTTAGTTTTTTATTCATCTTCAAAGGACTTCATAAATACTAATTTGTTAGCAAATCATGAATAGGTGGTTTCTTTTTAAAATGTAATTACTCATATAAGAAACTGAATACAGAAATTTAAAAAATGATGTAATAAGGACTTTGTGATTTCTTCACCTGTAATGAGACAAATTATCTATTCAATTGCTATATCAATCTACTTGCTGCTATTACAAACTATCACAAACTCAGTGGTTTAAAACAACATAAATTTATTTTTATGATTCAATAGATTGGAAGTTTGATACTGGTCTCACTGGGCTAACATCAAGATGCCAGCAAGGCTGCACTTATTTTGGGAGGGTTTAGAGAATTATCTGTTCTTTGCCTTTTACAAGCCACCTGCATTTCTTGCTTCATGGCCATGTCCCTCATAGCCAGTAAAAGTGGCCAAGTCATTCTTATAGAACATCCCTATGGCACTCCCTTTTACCTCCTCCTCACTTTAAAGGATCCTATGATTATACTGGACCCACTCCAAAATAACTTAAAATAATTTTCCCATCTTAACGGCCTTTACTTAATCACATTTTAACTTAATCGCTTCTGTAAAGCCCACGGCAATGTCATTCACAGCTTCTGGACATTAGACATTTTTAGGTGCCCATTTTTATACCCATCATGGATGTCTTTGTCTTCACAAAAATATAAACACACTATTAGGAAATTATGGGAGTTTTGGGGGAATGGGGCCAGTTTAACATGTCAAGAGTTTAAACGCAAAATGTGGAACATGGAACGAAAAAATTCCTCCTTTCTGTCAGATTTTTATTAATTTTACTGGCATTCTATTTTCAGGATGAACCCTAATTTGACATGTTGGAAGAATAAAATGGCCTGTCATTCAAAACCATGACAGGAAAAAACTACCCAAACGAATCTGTGTATTTGTTTTTTGTCTTCTATTTTTATTTTAGCTGTGCTGGGGATTAAATTCAGAGTCTTGCATATGCTAAGCAAGTGGTGTCACTACTAAGCTATATATCCAGCCCAAATCTGTCAATTTCTAAATCTGAGCAGAAACCACAAGAGCTTATTTTGTACTATCTTTGTACTCATTGTTCTGCCTAGCACTCAGGAACCACAAACTGTACAGCATGCATGCAGTGGGATGTAACATTAATTCAAACTGAAGCAGCAGTACCTGGGAGAAGTAATTGAAGCATACTGGCTTCGTTGCTTTTTACTTGTTGCCAGTACAAAATACCCGACATTCAAAATGAAGGAAGGAAAGGTTTATTTCTTACAGTTCTTGGAGGTTTCAGTCCATACTCAGTTGGCTCCAATGCAGGGTGCCATGGTGGAGCTGCAGTCATGGTGGCTGCAAACAGCACGTGTGAATTGGCAAGAGAGAGACACACTTTCTTCCCGCCATTACATTATATCATGGTTCCACCCCTGGGCAGGTATAGCACTCAAAACACTAATCTAAGTGCTAGACAATGAACCAATTACAAACGCGTAATTGCATGAGGCTTTGGGGCCACTGGCATAAACCATGACACATACCAACAATGAGTTTTTACAACCTTAAGAATCATTACATATGTATCTGGAGGTAAGAAATCAAAATTCTCCTTTGACAGCTCAAAATCAATTTTAGCACATTTTAAGACTTAAGCCCCAAGTACTGTTTTAATTTTTTTCAGTTTAGCTTGATATCTTGTTTTACTCCAGGATAGAACAGCAATGTTTGATGTATTCAAGTTATAACCAGCATCGACCAATTCTTTGATTCGACTTTTTAAAGTATTCATGCTCGAATCTAGAACCCGAGGATTTTCAATTATTTGTGATATACTAACTTTTTCTTCTATGAGGTAATCTATTTTATCATTAAACTTTTTCTCTGCCAAGAAGATCACATCTGGATAGTTTAAGACAAACTTTCGTACTTCTTCTTCAGTACAGCCAAAGGAAAACAGCTTCTCTTTGATATTTTTGTAGTTCTTTCTCATATAGTCATTGGAAAGGTCTAGGATTCCAGCTCCTAAACCACATATCAGAACAAGCAGTTCTTCCTTGTTCAAGGTGAAAGCTGATTGTAAAAACTCAATGTTAGCTTTCACTCGCTTGGTGCTCTGAATTAAGATGAAAGGGTTTTTGAAAATTATCTTTCTGACAAAATCCATGGGGTCATTACAACCCAAAGACAAACCAACTTCATGCAAACATTCAACCATCTTCTTATTCAAATCAAGACTATTGGAGAAGGTACGAGGGGCACTGGTCAATAATCGACAAAGGCATTTACTGGTCAACCCAATTGAACAGAGGAAATTAATATTTTTCTCCAAATTTTCATTGTTCTTGGACCGAAAAAAGGATTCAGGAGAACGTTCCAGAATATTTACAATTTCAAGGTCTGACATAATCACCTTTCTCCACAGATTCCACCGTTTTGAAAGACTTTCAGTAGTACGTGTAATGGCTCGTGGATATCTTGATATGATACTAGCAATCACTTCTTTGCTAGCTCCCTTGGATAAAAGAAACATCTGCACGTCCTGCTCATTAGTAACTGTTCTATTAAACACTCCAGGTTGTCGTTTCTTAGCTATGTCAATATCAACTCCCATAGTAAATAAGTTGTTCAGCAGGTCCTCATTCTCTGAAGGCTCACTGTCTACATTACCACATTTCACACCAAAAAGCCTAAATGAAATGGATTTGAGGAAGATTTCTGTTGAATATTGGACCATCCAACATCTTGAACCCAAAAGAAAGTTATTTCTCATACACCAGAGACTTCTTGATGCCATAATGATCAGGTAGCCCAGGTCTTTCAGAATGCTGCATAAAACAACACATATATTAGTGCCTATGTTAAATAATTAAATGACCACATTCTGATTCTATAAGCATCCCAGTCCTTTCTACAAGGAAACAACTATTCCTCAATAGAAGCTCACTGTTTCTGTTGGTTATGTGGAGACCCAGGCTCCTTCCACTTTTAACATAACTAAAAGCACGATAGCACCTTGGCTGTCAAAGAATTACTCAGGCATTTGTTTCTTTTTTATTTGACTTTGCCTGTCTCTGCCACCCTAAATCACCAGTGCTTCTGCTGTTTCTTCCTACCTTTCAAACCTTTGGCTTATTCTCTGTTAAGTCACACCTTCCTTTCCGCCTTGTCTTCCAACTTCCCAGATATCTGCCCTTGCCCACAGATAGCAGACTTCTTTACCTCTAGCCTCCTGCTTTCAAACTCCAAATCTAGTACTGAAAAACAAAATCTCAGACTATCTAATTTCCATACTAAGTATCTTTTTCTAAATTTATGGTACCTTTTAACTATGCTAGCATTATAGCTATATTTATTTTACATAATAAACCTATGGTTAACAACCCCATATCACTGTTTATCCTACTGTCTCCTTGATTATAATGCAGTAATTCCAAAGAAATTTTCATCTTCAAAATGATCTAGTTGGGGACCTGGAGTGTGGCTCAGTGATATAGCACATGATTAGCATGTGTGATCCTAGCACAAGGGAGAAAAGGGGAGAGGACACGTGAGTTTGAGAGGGATGGGGAGAAAAAGGGAAGGAAGTAGAGAGAAGAGGGGAGGGGAGGGAAAAGATTTAGTTGAGATATCAATTCATACAATCACGAACTACATTGCCCAGGTTGGCATGAACTCCAGTGTACAAGTGATCCTCCTGCCTCAGCCTTCTGAATAGCTGGGATGACAGGCTAAGTGCCACTACATCCAGAGTTACATAAACGTAATCATTTTACTTTTGCCATTCTCCTCTACCCCAATACCTTATTATACAAGATTAATTCAATGCTATCTGCACTTGCTGCATGACATAATTTCAGCTTCTGGCCATAACTTAGTAATTCATTTGTCTGATCATTTAGAAATGAGGCATAAAATGTATGAATCCTTCTGAAATGAGCAACTCCATTTATTTTATGAGTAAAACAATAAAAAAGTATTCTTCCATTATTCAGTCTATTAGATAATTTATTTGTACGTAAGCTAATTACGGTCTGAAGCATGTAACATGTGGATTTTTTTTAAAAAGTCTCGATGGGGATTTAGCTCAGCGGCATAAGCGCCTGTCAAGCAAGCGTGAGGTCGTGAATTCAGTCCCCGGTACTCCCCCCCCCCCCAAATCGCTCTTTGGTAGAATACACAGCTGTGACTAACTTTTTGATTTCAAATTGCTTGAAACAGGTTTTTAAGGGGAGACGTACACCTTATCCCTCTCTCTTAATTAAGTATAAAAAAGAGAGATAGATGGTTCAAACTCACCACTGACATTTTAGGGTTGAAGATACTGCTTTCAACATCAAGGTCAAAAAAGTCTCTTTTGCATATGTCCTTTTGATTATTACAATTTTAACAAAATTTGAATGCTGCCCACATGTGGGAACATTGCTGTGGTTCTAGAGACTACAGTTTCAAAGAATTGGGAAAGTTTTTCAAACTATACAATCAAGTAACATTCAACTCAAACGCAAGGCACTCACAAAGCAAATGTCAGAAACAAAAAAGCACATTTTAGGTTGATTCACTCTTCTGAGCTTCCTCTTCTTCACTCTTCCCTAGTACCACATACTATCATTACATGCTTTTCCAAAATTGCATACATTTGGAAATTAAAAAAAAAAAAGATTCTCCTCTAACTAAGCAATGAAGGTGCTACTTTGGATAACATATGTTCTCCTTTTCAGGTGAAAGCATGACCTCTACTGGAAAACGGGACAGAACTTTATGTCAGCTGAGGATTCAGTGTTTTCTAAAGAGGTGTGGCAAAATGATCTAACAGGAGGTAGCAAAAAACCATTGTAAAATTCCATTCTTGTCTTCGAAAAATTCTACTTTTTACTTATTTCGTACTTGTAATGGACACAATATACATGCCATAAGACATGTGTACAACTAATCAATCACTACATACACATATACTGGATGTACATTTATGGATGCGTTTGAAAATAGTGTATACAAGTTTGAAGTACTGCTACTCTACACAATGTACTATCTTGAGATTAGCTGAGTAAACTAGAGAGCATCCAACAGTTTACTAATGGTAATTCAAAAACAAGTGAAATATATCTATAAAGGTTTCTCCAGAATCTATTACAAGTAGATTTTTACCACGCTAAAGATGTAACTTGAACATCTTTCACCGAGCCCTCACTAGCCTTCCTGATTAACACTGCTAGCCTAAAAATCACACATGATTAAAAAAACCTGAGTTTTGCCTTCTTCCTCTTCCTCAAGCTCCCCTTCATCATGTGGATTCAGCTTCTTTATCATCTCTGCACTCCGAGCTCGCCAGTCTTTGTTAATCTCAAATTCCTACAACTCTTCTCATTCTCTTACCGTCTGTACCATCTGCCTATCTTAACACCAGAAAACTGCCACAATCCAGGTACTCACAAAACAAAGATATGACATGTCGCTCATTTACTCATTAAAGTCTTTCTCTAGCTCCCTGAAAACAGAACTTTCAGACTGGTCTTTAATTCCAACCACTTTCTCAGCTGATCCTTTACTTTGATCATACTTACTCCCTAGCAACATCAGCCCTCAAACTTCTAATTCTAAATATTCTTTTCCATGCCAATCTCCTTTGCTTAAACTGTCTTTTCCTTCAGAACAGCCCATCCTCCTGATGTCATCATGGAACAAGGACCCATATAAATACAATCTTCCCTCAAATCTTTAACTTAAAACAGTACAATGAATCATTTGTTTTATAAAATTTATACCTAAAGAACCTAAAACTATTATTTATCACGAAAAAACTGAAATATTTAGAACTGGCAACTAAATTTTGATCTTGATGATAATACTAAAATGAAAAACTGACTCCCAAAATGGCAGAGTAGGAAATAAATGGTAAAATATATTTTGTTATGAAAAAGTATGCTCATGATAACACTACATACTGAAGCCATTACTTTAAGAGTTGATATTCAAATTTAACAAACACCCTGAAAATCACTGTACTAGTAACTTATTAAATCTAAGGAATAAAAGAGGATTTGTTTTCCTCTGCTGCACAACTTTCTTGTTAAAGGACTTTTAATGGAATGATTAATCACTGGCCCTTCAATAGCACATTCCAGCGGGTATTCTTTCAAAGCAAGCAAAACAAGTATTGGGATCTATATAGCAATGGATTTCTCACCTTATTTCTCTTATTGAAAAAGGACTTTGCCGCCCTCCAGAAAAGCTGAAAAAGTTGTTTCTAAACAGCCCTCATAATAGAAAAAGCAAAACAGCATCAGAATTTCGTAACAGAGAATAAAGGAACGATTCCAGCTAACAGCATAGTATCTTCATGAGATGCATTTCCTCCTGTAAACTAAACATTTCTCAGTGATACTGGGAAGTCATACTGGGAAGAAAATGGCAAGTAAATGCCTGCTATAATGAGAAAAGGTAGAGCTAAGTGCTTCACATACCTTGTCTTACTTAACCCTCCAAAACAATTTAAGAGGTAAACATTATCCCTAAAATTACAAAATTTGCAACAGTGCCGAGCTCACTTACTAGCTTATCTGAGCTAGTTGAAGCGTGGAGGATCCACAGTAATTCCACATCATAAACTCTTCCCTCCCTCTTCTTCCTCAAACTGTATTTCTGTAAGAGGCTACGCCGTATAACTCAAATATCTCGACTGGCTTTGAAACAAGAAATAAAACAGCACATTGACTGCCAAGGCCTAAATTTCACCCTGAAACACACAGTACCTAAACTCTCAAAGGTGCTCCCGCCTTCCGCCTACGGTATCCTAAGTGGGACCGAGGAGCGGAAGTGAAGACAACTAACTTCCGGTCTCTGGCGACGCGTATAGGTGACGTCATCGACTCGGAGACCCAGGCAGCTGTGACTCGGTAGTCAGTTGCCATATGTGAGATGACCAGCAGGGGGTGACAAGAGACCGCTGTGAGTGCAGGGACGCGAAAGACTGCACTCGCAGTCTTGGAGAGGAGATTTTGGAAGAGTGAAGCAGATCTGGCGTTTCCCCTTTAACCTGGCAAGTGGACAGTGCCTGTTAATAAACCAGTTTGGGTTATCCTCACTCTTCCGCTCAGATTACTCCTGGTGATTTCCTGTTGTCACTTTATTTTAAATTAACTCTATATTTTGTTGGTTTTCTTTGGGGATTTGAATAACGATCAGTTTATTTAGCAAGTAAAACTACTTCAGTTCCTTCACATAAAACATATTCCTGAAAAATCTGAAATGATTTCTCGATGTACATTTCTAACATTTATTCGTTGAAGGAGCCAAACTGTTCTACATTTGGAATGTAAAATAATAAAATCGTTTTTTGGAAGTATGAAATTTCAGGCTTTAAGAATGGCTTTAAGGGCCCGGGATTTAGCTCAGCGGCATAAGCACTTGGCTGGCAAGTGTGAGGTCGTGAGTTCATTTCTAGGTAGAAGAAAAAAGAAGACGAAGAAGAGCTTTGAGATTATGGCGCTCGAGCCCTCTCATTTTATAGATAGAAACATTGAAATCCTTAGAGTAGGAACAAGAAGAAAATGTATGCTTTGGGGCTGGTGCTGCGTAGGTTGAAAGGTAAGAGAGCGAGACTATTTCTGCAATGATTTTTGAAATGTCGTTAATTATAATAGCAAAGATTACTACTTTGTAACTTATGTGTTTCAGTGGAACCTGTATACACCTTACCTGTATTCTTTCATTCATTCAGTGAATACTGGTTGCTGACACCTTCTAAGCACTGCTTTCAAGTTTGTAAATATGTGTAAAGTCATTGAAAATAAGTCAGATCTTCTGCCCTCTTGGGCTTTACTTGAATTTGCTCCTCTACATACTTCTCCTATCTCTCTTCCCTAGGCTAACCCAAGCTCCTGATAAATTGATGTATTAAAGGGAAGGAAGTGTTGAAATATTGGGGCTTTGGAGGCTTGGAAAAAAGGCCAAGGTAACCAGTAAAAGACAAAGAAACAACAGGCAAAAGTGGAATTAGGTAAAGTAGAAGCGTCATGACAGAGGATCATTTTTTTCCTAGAAACTGTTCTAAAGTTTGTTTTTGTTTTGTTTTGTTTTTGGGTTTTTTGGTACTGGAGATCAAACTCACAACCTCACACTTGTCAGGCGGACCTTTACACCACTGAGCTAAATCCCCTGCCCTGTAATAAAGTTTCTTTCTGGGTTACTTTTATGAGGGCTAGATAAATTCTATTTTTGTATTGATTATGTATTGTCATATCTCCTTTTTATGTCTATTTTCTGAAACAATATGATATAAGGTAACATTTGTGATTTTAAATGACCTTATTCGAGAAAGACAAATTGTCAAGTCTGTATCAAAACTATACCTACGTTTTTTTTAAATACAAAGTCTGTCATTGAAGAAAAGCAGAGATTCTGGAGCCTTCCTTCCATAAACTGAACTTAGACACACCAAAGCTGGTCTGAAAGTAAAGTCCAAACACCCATCTGTGCCTGTTCTGAATCACTTCAACCCTTTTATAACTTAATGATCATTCTGCTGTATCTAATGTGCTTGCCTGGCTTACCCCGCTGTGGATGTTTACAGCCTAGCAGTTTACCATGTGTGAGTCTCAGCAGACTCAATTAAGGTCAAAAAGAAAGTGGCCTTTCAGTCCTCACACCTTGACCCCCACCTGATAAAACAACACCTAACAATTTAATAAACAAATTCATCTGACGACTTTCAGAGAATCGTCAGGTCTCTACCTAATGTATGCCTGCTCTCTATTTTCTTGTCCATGGTAGATTTGTTCATTTGAAAATCTGCAAGTGACTCCAGGGTGATTAAAACAGTAAAGTTACCTGGAGACTTTCAAGTAGTTAACATTATATTTGTTTGCAAACTGACAAAAAAAATCTGGCTCCATTTTCTTCTCTTTCATAGCAATTACTTTTTCACCATCTTGACTTTGTAAAGATTTTTTTTCTGGCCACTTCCTTTCTCTAAAATGTACCTAACCAAGATCTAGAAAGAAAACTTCCCGAAACAACTTTCCTACTTTCACATTCTTTACCACAAGGGCTTTTGGCAAAACAGTGAGCAGTTGCTGACTCCAGACTTTGATGTGATTCTGGATTCCCATAGAAGCTGGGTTCCACCATCAGCAGAGAGAACTGATGAAAAGGAACAAGATAATGATTTTGTGATGGGAAAATAACTCCCAACTAATTAGGTGTCAGATGTTCCAAGTTTGTGGTCTCACAACATTAAGGGATGAAGTAGTAAACCAGGTTAAGATAGTTTTACAGTCTTTTAAGCAAAAGACCTGGATTTCCAGGAGAAGTCCTGAGTCATTGCTAAGGCGGTCAAGGGTCATTCATACAGCAGAATCACAATGTGGGTATAGTGTGGGTCTAACTACACTTAGCTAATATTAATCCAATGGGGAAATTAGTCATCTATCAAGAGTACACGGAAAGAACAAAGCTTTTCCTGGAACAGAAGGGGAGTATGGGTCCAGATGTCATCTATCTCGCATGTGATTCCGGCCCAGGCTCACTGGACTGGGTAGTGCTAATTACAGTGTGATCACAACTTGCTGTTTGTCTCTAAGGAGGTTCAAAGGCCTGGCTCTTGCATCTCCATCTTGAGGCCATGTCTTCATATTTGCCTCCACTCACAATTTTGGTGTCTTTCAATTTCATGTTGGTTGCCTTGAAGGCTCAGTCCCTCTCTGACTACATATTAATCTTCTTCTTCTTCTTCTTCTTCTTCTTCTTCTTCTTCTTCTTCTTCTTCTTCTTCTTCTTCTTCTTCTTCTTCTCCTCCTTCCTCTTCTTCTTCTTCTTCCTTCTTCCTCTTCCTCCTTCCTCCTCCTCTTCTCCCTCTCCCTCTCCTCTCCCTCCCCTCCCCCACCCCTCCTTTTCCTCCTCCTTTTTCTTCTCCTTTTCCTTCTCCTTTCCTTCTCCTCCTCCTCCTCTTCCTCCTCTTCCTCCTCTTCCTCCTCTTCCTCCTCTTCCTCCTCTACTTCCTCTTCCTCCCTCTCCCTCCCCTCTCGATCCCTTCCTTCTCCTCCTCCTCCTTCTTCTCCTTCTTCTCCTTCTTCTCCCTCTCCCTCTCCCTCTCCTTCTTCTTCTTCTTCTCCTTCTCCTCCTCCTCCTCCTCCTCCTCCTCCTCCTTCTTCTTCTTCTTCTTCTTCTTCTTCTTCTTCTTCTTCTTCTTCTTCTTTCTCCTCCTCCTCCTCCTCTTCCTTCTCCTCCTCCTCCTCTTCCTCCTTCTTCTCCTCCTCCTCCTCCTCCTCCTCTTCCTTCTCCTCCTTCTCCTCCTCCTCCTCCTCCTCCCCCAGCATCTTGCTTTGTAGACCAGGCTGGCATTGAACTCACTTAGTAGCTAAGCTTGGCCTCAAATTCACAGCAATCCTACCCCAGCCTCCCCAGTGCTGAGATTGCAGGCATGCATGTACCACCATGCCCAGGATGCATACTATCTCCATTTAATTCAGCTGTCTATGATAATTTGAGATCACATCAGTCTCATGAGTTTAATTACCTCAGAATTGTTTGACCCTAGAGTACCAGGCCACTAATCAGTTACCATGAAGTGACTCTTAATTATTGGTGGAAAAATTTATCTCACCAGAGAATCAGCGAGCAAATATTTGTGAGATAAAATAAAATCTTCTTTTTGAAAAACAACCTCCCTTCCTATTACAATAAGTTTGGAAATTCCACCTTAAAGGTTTGTTCCTTGTTACTTATACCATAGTTATTTTAAATTGCAACTGGATTTGCAAGAGGAAACTTTTCATAAAGTAGGCCAAATATTAATATTTTAGGATTTGTGGGCTTCTGTATTGCTATTCTTTTCTTTAAAAAAAACTTCTAAAAATACAAAAACCATTCTTAGCTACAGGGCTACTTGGTCACTACATGTGATGTGCCAACACCTGCATTAGCTACTACATTAAAGGCACCCCCAAAGAAAAAGAAGTGTCAGAGGGAGGACATAGAAAATGTAAATAATACTTGAAAACACAACCACTATTCTTATTGCTTTGCCTATATTAACTCATTTAGTTCTAACATGTAATATTATCTCCATTTCTAGGTAAGGAACCTGAAGTAAAGACTAAGTGACTGCTGACATTCACATAGATAGTAAGAAATGGAACTAACGCTGGAATCTA